ATGTGAACTATTTAACTGCATGCTACAGTATCACTGGGTTTTTGTTTGGTTTTGTTCCACCCCCACAATACACCTTTAATAACAGAATACAATAATGAAATAACTCATGTTGAAAGGTACTTCTGGAGGTCATCTGGTCCAACCCCCTTCCCCCCAAAGCAGAGTCAGCTTCAGAGTTACACAAGTTGCTTGGTGCTTTGTCTTCAGAGGCTAAGAAACTATGTCCCCTCCTCTCCCACAATCTAGCCTGGGCTATGGCTATTCTTAAAGATATCAGAACTCCCACCAAATTTGTTCCCGTCAAGACAACATTTCACAAGAAAATACAACCAGCACGAAAAGCAGAAATATTAGCAAGTGCCCCAGGAATTGAGGGGAAAAGTTAAAGCTAGTTAATTTATCTACTGAGACCTCTTTTCTGTAATAAGCATCTTGATCTGTTATTGTAGAATGCAACAGACTTAACAAGTGGTGTCCAATCATCCAGATAGAGCAGTTTGCACAAACAGCAGAAGCATTTGAGGACTGTACACCCCACCAGGTGATGTCAGTTATGTTACTTACTTTACCATGGATGTGCACACATACAGCTGACCACCATCACATGAAAATACTTAGTTCTGTGATAAGAGAGGGTCTGCAGTGTCTCTGAGCTACAGACAGAAGGAGTAGAACATTTCACAGACCTTAAGACCTTCCTCAAACAAGCGTCCCTGAGGAAAGTGGTACAGCAAGGAGCAAGCTGTGGGCTAAATGCTCTGTTGGACTAGGACATCTCATGTCACAACTGGCTACCACGGACTACCAGGGAAAAAAGATATTTACAGTTATTTTCAGGTAGAAATGCTGTTACAGAAAAAGCCATCCAAAATTACAAAGCGTAGAATAAAGAGTCACCAGGTGAACACTACCTCGTGCAGTACAGTAATGTGATGTTTTGCCTCCCCCTCTGATACTTTTATTGCTACTTATACAATGCTGATTCCAAAACCAGGAAGCTGTCCTGCAGAAAGCTATTTTAATTTTTTTGCCATCTTATTTTTCTGTGGTAGGTGTGGATGCAACTCTTCCTACTATACCACCTTTCCCAAGTGCACCTTGCTGATGCTGCTATCAGTAGCTTCAGATCAGACATTTCACATATGAAGAATGCCTAACTCAGTTTTTCAAGAATCATGTCCACACACTCATCTTGCAGTAAGGCCATTCTCGAAAGACTTTTTTTTTTTCTCTCCTGTTGCATAAGTTTATTTGCACAACACATGCCATCTCCTCTCTTCCCTCCACAACGTGCAAATATAAGTTTATCCTATGGTACAGGGCTGTGCTTTTTACACTTAACATACTGCAGCGCTGAGAAAAGAAAGAACCCACAAACCCCGCAGCTTAGAAGAAAAACCCCACCCAACGAGACAAAATAAGGAACAGTGACAGGGTCACCTGCCCCAACAAAAACAATACCAGGACATACTACCTTAACCCAAATAAACCCAGACAGCCACCAGAGATATCTGAGAAGAGGGAGCCGGCGGGGTGATGGGAGTCAGCAGGTACAAAGTGGCTGGGGGACCCGGGGGTAGGGAGCACGGCCACCCACCCCCCGGGAGGGCTGAGGCCGCGCACGGATGCCGCGGGGAGGGAAGGAGA